CCCCAAAACCCCAAAACCCCAAAACCCCAAAACCCCAAAACCCCAAAACCCCAAAACCCCTGTTTAACTTTTTAGCTTGATTTATAAATTACAATGGCGCACCAAAATCTTTTCAAAAGTTTTGTCAAGGACAAGAGGCCCCATTCTTAATGAAATATTTATGAATCAAAACCTTTTAGATAGGATCCCTCTCTTGTATAAGAGGTGCGTTTGATTTCAATTACTTGGTTATAAAATTAGTTTAACTCAAGCATAAAATTACCTTATGGTTTTGGAGAAATGCCCTAACTCACACAAAAAAACTCGAATTGAGGAGAAAGACCCTCTAGGAAGTAGAAACAAGGATTTTATAACTTTTAGAATCAACTTTAGTCTGAGGTTGGCCTTGGGTCTTCATACTCTTCGTACAAATCCTGCAAATCTATGATGTATTCAGCATTATCAGCATCTTGGAACCCGAAATGGGAAAGGGAATAATACTTGAGGAACACTCAACGATCTCCAAGAAGGTCTCAGTAATCATTAATATCTTCTGGAGCAGTACCGTGGTCAATTTCTGAACCTAATAATGCTACATCGTTTATAGTATCTTCAAGAGGAATTAGTGGAGCTTCTTCTGTTCCATAAGCTTCAAGATTTCCTTCAGGTCCGTAATCAAAGTATGAAACTCTTCCAGTTCTGACACTTTGTACTAAATGTTGAGAAAGTTGAATAGTAAGTGAGTTATCTTGGAATAGCTGACTTCTGATTGATCCATCTTCATCATTGTATGGGTCTGATTCTGCTGAGACAAGTCTAACAAAAGCATTACAAAGAGGAGGGTAAGGATAACAGAACATTTGATTTAAAACATTTGTTGGGAAATCAGTTGGGTTCACATAGTTAATGCCCATCGATCTCACAACATTCAAAAGCCCATCAGCCTCTGCAAGTCCTATATATACGAGAGACTGAGTGTGAGCGTATGACGGCCCTGCTGCAATCAGACTCGCAATATTTACATTAGTTGAGAAAAACTCTGGCTCAATGGCCATGGCATAAGACAGTGTTGTTCCTCCGAAGCCATACCCATAGACAGCAATAGAGTCGTAGTTGGTGTTGTCGATGATGAACTGGATGTCAGCCATGAGGTCGTACCTCAGTGTGACCATGTCGTAGTCGTAGAATTCCGGGTCTGTGTCAGGATCCAAGCTGACATGGGCTCTACTGACTTGGGTAAATCTAAAGTTCAGAACCCACACATCGAATCCTCTTGTGGCTAGTTCGAATCCTGGAGAGTGGTCAGGGCCGTCATAAAAGAGCAGGTTTCCATGTCCATTAATAGGGTGAATCATATACACAGGGGGCTTGTCCTGCTCGTCTCTATTGTTTGGGGCGTAAGGAACTCTCATCAAAGTGAGAATGTAGCCATCTTGAGTGGTGGTTTGGTACTCTTCGTACCCAAATCCGTATAGTTCGCATTTCTCTCTTAAGCTCATCTTATAATCTACTGGTTGTCAAGAAGCCAAATGGGTGCTAATTGCTAACACCAAAAATATGGCTAAAACTTTTTTAATTAAAACTTTCTGCATTTTAATATTATTTTTCTACCTAATCTAAATTTATAGGGGTTTTGGGGTTTTGGGGTTTTGGGGTTTTGGGGTTTTGGGG